TACCGATCGTGCTTCCGGTACAGATCAGATAGTAACAGGGGGAGCTGTCTGCTGACGCCCATGTTCTTGTTGTTAGTGTGATTCGCCCCCCAAAGACCAGTGAAATGCACTACAGTGACTTTAGTGGTACAATTTTTCTTTTAGCCACCTATGAAAAGATAGGATGTTGGTCTTCGTGTGGACTAGGCCAAAGATTTAACTTGCATATTAATCATCACCCAATTTACATAAAAAGTTTAAAAAGTTGCAGCATACATTTGTGTAATAAATGTGCATTTGGGTGTGTTACTCTGCTTCCTCTACATGTAACTGTGTGTGCCTTAGCCAGAAACTCCTTGTGCCTCCCCAGCGTCTAAAAGTTTTTTTGCCATTAATCCAGAGTTATTTCCATTCTGCCGTTCAGGGAGCATTCATATGCAGACAGAGCCGACGGGAATGATATATCTGCTCATGCTAACACCTCGCCCACATCTCTAATATGCCTGCACACACAAACACACGCCCAGCTGCACTCCCCTCTTCTACACTCGTGTACAGACAAACTCACATGCTTGAATGGGTGTAAAGGAGAGGAAAAAATGAATTATTGGCAATTTGCTTTGGTTAAGAAAAGCAGTTATGTTTTATTTTTGCCTCCATGTTGCTTTATGTGCGTATGTGCTAGTATTCCTGACCTGTGCTGAGCGTTGTCCGGGAACAAAAGGCATTAGTGTAGTAGACCAAACTAATGTGATTTTCTATTAATGCGATGCTCTGAGGTCATCCCCTGTAGGTTGCCGTGTGTGTTTAATGCTAAAAGTAGATTACAGATCAGCAACTCTTTCATACACATCCAAAATCCTAACCACACACTAATTATCCCGCCAGAACAAAGGCAGAGTAAGTTTCGAAAAAGTAATGTCTGACTCTCTGTCACTTATTAAATCATTCCTATGTGCAGAAGTGTGTGTAGAGCACGGCTGAGCACTAATTTGTGAGGGTGAGGGAGTGAGTTTGTGTGCAATAAATCTGCCTGCACGTGTGCAGTGATGCTAAATCTCTCCTGTCGCTGCTATGAGTTAATGCCTACTGCTAAATCTATAAATGTTACCAATTAAGTGTGTGGTTGTAAATTTGAACAGTAAACAAATGGAAATGAAGCCTTTAAATCTTTGACAGTGACCTAAGTCATCACAGATTAGATATGACACATTTTACAGAGTGATAAACCATGTTTACATTACCATAGATGAGGTCCTGGAGATGACCTAGAGGGGAAATCTAACAGGGCATTTAGGAAACAACACTGAGGGAAAATTTGCTAATACTGCAGGAAGCAGATATATCTGCTCTCATCTGAAGGTTCATAGAGCATAAAGAAGGCTCATACAATAAAAATATAATCAATATGCCATTTTAGTACATTTCAAAAACCATTTACCTTAATGGCCACAGATTGTGGTTTGACAGTTGCTTCTCCTCATTAGTGTTCCATAAATATGGAACTTCCTTTTCAAACCTTTATGTTGCCTTTTTGAAAGATTTCAAGCTTTTCTTTTTATAACAAACAAAAGATTTAAATCAAGTTTAAAGAAAAAAGTTCCTTTACAAATAGAAATCGTGATTATTTTTATTGTCATTGGTCGCCATTGACTGTCGCTACCTGACAGTCTATTGCATCAGCGGGCTGCTGTGACAGCTAATCCCATAATGCTTTGCGAGTAGAGCTCTCCACGCAAAGCATTCCTGTGTAGGTAGGTACCAGATCTGCTCGTGGCCCCGCCCCTTCTTATGATGTCAAATATGGCAACCCCACTCCGACAAACTGTATTGCACCTGTTTTTTAAGGATTAAATCTCTTTTGGAGTCTCAACATATTATTAACTATATTTTCTATTATTTTACATTTCAATGCCAAACTAAAGTAGCCGAAAGTAGAAAACAATCATTGTCAGTCTCAAAGGAAAGTATTTAACAAGATGACAAAAAAAGTCTCATCTTATTTTTATTCTTTTATTAAGATCTGAGGGCAGTGGAAGACACATGGAACATCTTAAAAATTGCTTTCGTAGAGATGTTAGACAAATAAAACAGTTATTCTGCTTGTAGAAAACTAACGGTTGTTGTTGACACAAATTAAAAAGTAGTGTAGCTTAATGTGGTTAGCTGAGCTAGCTAAAAGAGACTAACCTGTTAGCTACTTAGCGCAGCTAGCTACAGCGCTACCCAGCTCTCCCCCTTTATACCAGGGTCGTGCAGTTGCTTTATTCACCATAAACGTTTTTTTTTTTCAGTTTTGTTATCGATCAGGTAAAATGTCATCACTCATTAGACACGCTAACACTACAGATGCCCCTGATTTGGCACACGGATGTGATGTTGTTATCGTTGTCTGGGCAACCACAACGTTTTACATCATGTGTTCAGCCAATCATGTAGCGTAACGTCACTGGCATGAAGCAGGACCCCGACCAGATCTGGTACCTACACCAGGATATACTTCATAGACACTCTTTCTCTTATGATCCTCGGCCATTTTCAACAAGGTGAGAAAGGTGAGCTTCAATGACTGTCTGAAACCGTAGCTCACCACAGATATGTGCCTGAAAGTGTGCATCTGCAGAAAAAGATAGCTAACTGGTGAGGCATGTTGGGCGGCCTTACGTAAACATATCACCAGAATGATTGACAATTAGGAGGACCACTTATTTAGATAATCCACCTGGAAGAAAAGATTGTCCTCTATACCTTTAAATTACTTAAACTCTGACCCAGTCCTTTAATTCCTACAGTAAATCCAATTAAAACAATATAAGAATTGCATGTGAAAATAAATTGATTTCAACATGAGGAAAGGGAAATAGTAGAGAAAACCAGCGCTGAGGGTCCTATAGCTTTATACAACATGCAAGCAGTCCAGGTCTAAAAGATGAGGCCTATCTCTGTTGTGCTCCAGCTTTTAAAATAACTGGACTTACTGCCTGTCAGTTGGTGAGTGCTTTCTGAGGGAATCAGTAAAATCAGTTTTTATTTTTAAGATACACTAGAGCTAATAAATGCTGGAGGTAAAAAGATGAATGGATGCAACAAATCAGACTCTGCGTGATTTTTCCTTTTTCACATCACATTATCCATTTCTTTGCAGACAAAATTGTTACTCTCAGATTTAGTTTCAGTCTAATTCAGGGGAACGATTCTCATGATAAATTTGTGTAAGGGTTATAGTTCAACAGGTAATCACACAAGATCCTAAGAGGCTAAAACAGTGAAAGTGTGTTTACCCATTACATGCTTCATAAGTTTGAAAATAAGGTATAGTATGAAAATATTGTATCAGCTAAATTTAAATTGTAGCACTCTTCAAACTGCACCTTTACCCTTAAAAAGCATTTAAGCCCCACCAGCAACCTAAGTTAGTTATAATTAGTGTTGCACAGATGCCATTTTTTGGTCCCGATACGATACCCGATACCTGGCTTTGCAGTATTACCGATACCGATCCCATACCAAAACCATCTGTTTGAAATTGATGTGTGTGTCTATATATGAAGAACTGCATACTACTTGGATGTAAAATAATAACCATCATGGCTTTGTCAAGCTGCTGCCTACCTTTGTGAAGCAGGAAAAAGACTAATACAAAGTGAATCCAGTAGAACTTTTTATTGCCTACCTGGAATGGGCGAAAATAGCTGAATAAACTTTTGGCTCTCAAAATGGTATCAGTGCCCTATTTGTTGGTACTCGCCGATATTGATACCACCATTTTAGTGCTGGATCAGGGCCCCACCCAATACTGGTATCGATGCAACGTTATTCATGATAGGTTGAGAAGCTAAATCCTTTCCTCTGCCTACTGCCTCCATCTTTCTATCAGCTGTGTTTTCTATTCATATCAATCAGTTGCATGATAGTATACTTATCCTTAGTAGGAACCCTGGATAAAGCATGGTTTGTCCTACCTAACATTGAGGGAAAAAAAAAGATGAAGGAAAGAGAAAATGTAAGATTGAAAAGAGTGGATGTCACTTTGAGGTTTTTCAGAGCAAAACCACTTCCTTGCCTTCAACTAGTCTTTTGTTTTTGCCTTTCATTGACTTCATTTTTCATTGTTTTTCATAATTAGTCATTTTGATTTTCTCTATTTTTCTTCAACTCATGAAAGTGATTTTGATCTCTACTAAGGATTCAATTCCTTAACGTTCAGAGCGGAAAGTTGTTTAGATTTATATTTTTGTTCATATTTGGAATCCCAGCCTCATCTCTCTGTTCTTTTTGCTTTTCTCAGTGGATGGATGCATAGACTGGTCGGTGGATCTGAGGGAGTACCACGTCCTGGCCGGTGAGCCCGTTCGGGTCAAATGTGCCTTGTTCTACAGCTACATACGAACCAATTATACCATGGCCACCAATGCCAAGCTGCGGCTCATTTGGTACAAGAACAAAGGAGATGCCGAGGTAAGACAGGTTTGATTACTATGTTGAATTATTTTACATTTAGAAACACATCTTTGACTGTGTTTTTCCACAACCCTGCCTTCTGATGCCACGGATCTATTTTAGCTCACCAAATTGGCTCTTTAACACAAATTATATAAACATAACTATGCTTTATACTGTACTTATTTAAATATGTTTAGATAAAAGCAACAGAATGTTCTGCTTCTCTAGTGCATTTTGCTGTTTTCTCAATCAGGATGCACCCGGACTTTATTGAAATACAACTTAATGGCCACAGACTGTGGTTTGATAGCAGCTTCTCCACATTAGTGTTCCATAAATATGGAACTTCCTTTTAACCCTTTATGTTCTCTTTTTCAAAGATTTCAAGCTTTTCTTTCTATAACAAACAAAAGATTTAAATAAAGTTCAAAGCAAAAAGTTTCTTTATACATAGAAAACATGATTTTTTTTTATTATGATTATTCACGATTAGCCAAAAATACAATATTTTGGTTTCTTTTCCTGCCTTTAACCACAATTTTAAGACAATCTAACTCTCTTTAACCACAATTAGGGGCACAGCTTTCTTTCTTTCTTTCTTTCTTTCTTTCTTGCTCTCTGGCCACTGTGGCTAAAGTGTGTCCAAATTTACTAGCCACTCAGTGTTTTCACTTGCCACAATTTGATTGTTAGAAAATTATGTTAAACATGAGTAAAGCTGTCTTTGGCATGCCTAAGTTAACTTAAACTAGATTTTAAATAGTTTTAAATTGCAGAGTCACATTTAGATTTGCTTATTATTTCAGATGATATTTGAGAAAACTACTAATAAAAAGTAAATGGATTAAAAAGTGGCTAGTAGGAGTGGCTGTATTACCCACCGCAGATGAAATTCACCGGCATTTGGAGGGTTCGGGGGTGTTAATAAAGCCCTGAATAGGTGGACGGTTATGTCTTGGTACATTTCCAACTGTGGCAATTTCAGATTCAATAGCTTCAATTTAAAATGACAAGTTTCACTGTTTAATGGATTCCATTGTGGTTTGAAATGACTGATTATTACACAGAACTTGGGTCATTTCAGCTGTTATTCTATTTACCAATTTCAAGTTAAGAAGATATAAACCCCATCCATGACAGCTACAGTATGTGACATAAAGACTGAGATTGTATTTGAATGGTAGTTCCACTGAATCTAGTATATAGTAATGTAAGTGTGTCTGACTTAAACAGAAACAGAAGTCAATATTTCTGAGCTGGATAAAAAGTTATTTGAGTTGGAGATAACAAGGTGGGTTAATGATAAAGAAAGAGCCAGTTAGGATAAGCTGTATTGTATCATTGATTCTACTCCAATCTCTCACACGAGCAGTGGCAGTTGAGGAAAAAGTCCCTTTTAATATGAAGAAACCTCCAGTAGAACCAGGTTCAGAGTGAGAAGCCTTCTGTCAAGATTTAAGGAAAGAGAAGCAGATATATAAAAGGAACATAGAATACTGGTGTATTAATACTTTCTATGTCAATATACACTAGAAACAGCAAAAGTAAACTAGCTTGTTAGGTTGGACTGTCTAGGAAAGACTCAGTTAACCAGAGCTCTGAGAATTAGTTAAAGGTAAAAGCTGAACCCAGAGCCCAGAGGAGATGAACAGGGCTAAATAAATACTGCAGATTTGGAGAATCGAGATAAAATAAAGCAGAATTAAATACTAAATCATTGAATACTAAATCATATGAGAACTATAGAAATTGTTCTACAAATTGAGTCAGGACATGGTATCATTATAAATGACCCCTCACACCCCCACCATGGACAGTTCTCCCTGCTGCCCTCTAGAGGGAGGCTTCGAGGCATCCGATGCCGGTCCAGCAGATTCAAAAACACTGTCTTTCCCACTGCCATTATAATGCTGAATGTTGAATTAAATGGGGGGAAAGCGCTGAATGTTGGAAAAACTGTAAATCATAAACCAGTCCTATGTATACATTTGATCACCATGTTTTATCACTGCTGCCCTTTAGAAATGGAAATGTCTTGAGAGCTGTACTGAAAGAAATGCTGTTTTGTATACACTCTGTGTGTACAAAATGACAATAAAGTTTGTGTAAGTGAGTACAAAGTTTGGGCTAAGTCCTCTAAGTCCTCCTCCTTGCCCAGAACTTCTGGGTAGGTGGGAATTTAAATAGCTGGAGGGGGTTGCTTCATTTATGCTCACATAATACTCGTGCTGCAGCCAGTTTTCCATAAGACAGCATAAATTAATTTGATTATGACAGATGAATTCATTAGCTAAAAAGCTCTTTTTAGTAAACTATAGATCTTATGTTCAATAAAAAAAACATATAATTGTCTTATTTTTTCTCAGTTGGAGTCATTGTAATTAGAATAAGATTATTATAATTTACTATTTTTCTTTTTGGCTTAATGGGTTAGTAACAACAGAGAAGCTGCAGAGAGGTGTGTTTATCTATGGCTCTGCTTCCTGGTCTGCACCCTGGGCTGTCAGGTGTTTGGAGTACTAATAAATTTGTCCAAATCCCGTCCAAAGTGGGAATCACATGTGTACCACATGTTATGGAAGTTTATGGGTTTTTCTGTAAGGGGATAAATGCACTCATTTCCCTTAATGTCAAAACATCATTGTAGGAGTTTGGCTTCTAGCTTTAAGAAAACAAAAAGCAAAGTCTAGTTGTTTTAGTTCTCTCATCCCACACCTGTCAGTGATGTGGATAGATCTGCTGAGAAGCTACGGGTCGTTGTGACTGGCTGCTTTCGCCTGGGGATCCTCATCAGCTCGGTTTCACATTCATAAACAGTTCAATGACAGCTTGTCTCCTGCTAAGCTGTATAGTAAAACACCACGAACACAGTCAAAACTTTTTTTGCCTACACCTATCTGTACAGAGACATTTGCGAACAAATGTGGCTCATTAGGCCCACAGCCAAACTTTGAATGTAAGAAGTCTGAGAGTTACGAACCACTTTCAATGCTGTAAGTAGTTTAACACTGTTAATCTAAAATCTCTACAGCCTTGTATGGTTGCAGCATACCCCTGCTTGCTTAGTGGCCATTAAGGGTTTCACCCACTCAGGATAAAACCACCTCATTTCCCAGTTTGAACGGAAAAAAAAGAGGTTTGGTGTTAATATGTAGTTGATCTAGCCTTTTAAAGGTTCCTTTTATACGCTTTGAATGAAAAGCTCTTGGGTTCAGAATATGTTTGGTTTCATTTCTACTTGGGTCAGTGTACAATTACCCAGGTTAACAACACTGCTGCCTACCTCTAAAAACCTATTTGGTTCCAAATGTGTTCAGCACTTGTAGTCAATGTGGGAATTTCTCACTCTTTTTTGGTTATTCCCTCAGCCATTTTTTTTCTGTACACCTTACTAGAATATTTATAGAACATTTCGACATTTTACCTTTTTATATAAAACCAGAATGTATCTTTCTGAGATTTGAATGCACCACTAGACCAATAATAGCTAATGCATGACTTGGTATTTGGAGAAAAATTACATTGTTCTCCAAGTTTCATTAAAAAAATAATTGAAAAATGTGAATGTTTTATATTTCCCCCCACTCTGATAATGCAACATAAAATACAGTATGTCCATTTATATTTAAATGAATTTAGCTATTCTGTGGTGAGACCATGTAGGTTGTGGGGAAATTAAAAGCAGAGTTAGTTTATGAAACAATAGTTCAGCTGTGTTTAGTCTGGCATTTGAAAATAGAGTTAGTCTGACCTGACTGCATAGCTACCAAGACATTGTCATCCCTCCCAGCTGACTGATTGGGCAAAGACAGCATTATGAAGAAGGCATCAAAGAAGTTCTAAGTGTTTCTGGAACAGCTTCCCAGAATCACAGGTAGCTACTGAATATACACGCAAAACAGAACATTTATTTATTTAAAAGGTGCTGAAAATAAAACCCATAAGAAACTAATATAAAAAAAAAAGATTAGACAAAACTGAACCTCTGAATTTATGTATATACACATTTTATAGCTTAGTTTATTTGGCTATTAATAAAATTAATAAAATACACACACCCAACAAACTCCTTCCCATGTTAGTTTTTTTTGTTTTTCCTCGCACACAATCCCTTTCAGGTTTTATGTTTTTTCGCCTGTTCAGAAGATTTAAACTTTTTCCCTGCCTCAGCCCTGACCAGTAGTCGAGCAGGCGGAAAGATAGCAGAGCAAAAGCCTTAGCTCCATGACGATATAAGAGCCTGCGCCCATAAAGCGATACCTTCTTCTGGGTCACATGACCTGGCCAATGATGGTGTGTCACCTTACAACTTACATAGACAATATTTAAAGAGGGAAGCTCTGCTTCTAGCATTGATTGTGTCAAGAACTGTATTTTGGCCTGAAAAATAATTTAAAATAACTCATAGGTGCCAACTCTGAAGGTCACCAAGTTCGCAGTGTGCCGTTAAATATAACTAGTGGGAAGTTGAGGAGGAAGCTGAAACTCTTGCAAGACAAGGTTCAAATTTATTTAAAGGGGAACACCTTTTTTTTACATTGGGCCCTTGAGTTTACGTTATTCCATCATGTTCTACTCACCTATATAAGTTTTGTGTCTTTTGGAGCTGTTCTGAAGATATTCGGTGTTGTTAAATCCAAGTTACGTCTTCCTATGGGCAACGACTTGAAGGCACAAACTAAACTGACCATAATTTATTCTTTATGGTACGCCAGCATTCATAACATGTAGGCGAATCACTGTCCCCCAGACATCCGCGGTTATATTTTTTATATATATATCTTTTAAAAACAAAGCGTTGCCTGTAGCCCGGGCCCCAGGCGGCTNTATATCTTTTAAAAACAAAGCGTTGCCTGTAGCCCGGGCCCCAGGCGGCTACGCTCTACCCCTTCTATTCATTCTAGCTAATCTGAATCGTTCAATTCCATTTGGAGAGCGAGATCATCTGTGGTAGCAGCACTAGACATCTTCCAGGCATGTAAATAAAACTAGCAGCAGTTCAGCGGACAGGAAGAATGAACGGTAACCGGCGCGCCGGATGACGTCATATACGCCCCGCTTTGTTTTTACATGACGTAAAATCAAGGGCCCAATGCAACAAAAAACGGTGTTCCCCTTTAACAACCTCAGACAGCGAGATTGAGCTCTAACTGAAGCAACCTCAGTACATAGATTTATACCTTACAAAATCCCAACACACACACACACTGTCCCTTGAAACTATCCCACCCCTACACAAAGAACTTTCTCACATTTGAACATTTAGTTATTCACAAGACAAAACATTTCAATTCATCAAGGACATACATTTTAGCCAGATAAAAATCCTGTTCACAGCTTGAAGGAGGCTGTGTGAACTCATTCTTTTCTCTTACGACCCTCCCTTCACCCTGGTCTAGTAGGGAGGTGACTGCTTTCTGCCATCCCAACTCGTAACTCCATAACTTAACTCCAGCATACAGACTGGTACAAAACTTCTAAACAATCACCCCTATTTAGGCAGAGAAAAGGCACACTCAGAATATTTTATCTCACAAATAGGCAAAGGAAAAATATGCTTCCACACTAGAAAACAAATAGAATGACACAAAATTGAAAAGAAACAAATGACCAAGAAAACACAGAATGACATAAATCGAAGTGTAACTGAAAACTCAGACAGAAACTTAAACAGTACAGTAGCCATAAAGTCCACAAAGGGGAGAATCACAACAATTTGTATCATTTGACCTTCAGCGTTCACCTAATTTACATTCAGTTATCACTAAAATTGCTTTTAGAGCTACCAAAAGCTGTACAATCTCTACTTAAGTTGAAATACAAAATGTAACGCAGCTTTTCGTCTACTTGCCTGGTTTATTTGGTTTATATGGGTTTACTTACTAAAATGTTGTCTTTCTTTTTCTTTTTTAATGTCTCCCTCAGGAGCCTATCATCTTCTCAGGTCACAGACTGAGCAAAGAAGACGACTCCATCTGGTTTAGATCTGCTGAACTGGAAGATAACGGATTCTACACTTGTGTTCTAAGGTACTGCACCACACAAATCCGTTCTAAATTAATTCTGACTCGATAGTTTGTTCTACCCCGAAGAAAAACTCTCTAAGTACATCATAGACTCTCCGAGGAAGTATGATTCAGGGTCATTTCTTGGTCAGATGCATGCAGTAGTGACTGTCTCATACAAAAAGCTCCCCTACCCAGATGGGAGCGAGGTCAAAGCAGGCTGAACAGATAGCTTTGAATTCAGTCTGAGGACGCGCGTTCTTCATCAGGCTGGATGAGCATGTTGAGGTTTTCACCTGCAGGGAAGAATAAGGCTTAATTTTGGACCAACTGTGACACATTTCGCTGCTTGTTTCTCACATTTAATAGAAAAGAGATCATGCTTTTCTTGATGTCTGGAGTAAAAAGAATAGAGAGGGAGCCACTCTATAATTTAGAGATGCTGGAGCATGTTATAGAAAACAGTGATGACAAAAAGGCCATAACAAATTATCTTTATGGCATACTTTCTACCCTTTACTTACTTACAAAATGATACATCCTTTGTTATATTTTTCACCCTTGGAGGTCCCCACTTTTTCACCTGTGCAATGCATGAACTCTCTTGTTCAAGAACCCAAAATTACTAAACACAGGAAGGCTAACATTGGCAGACTTGTTTTTTTTTTTTTATTGTTTTTAGTTTAGCAGGTGCGAATTTAGACAACATGATGCTGCCTAAAAGTTTTAATGATTCATGAGATATCTTTTGCAACAAACAAATGGGATCTGCAGGGATCTACTGTTTACTATATTGGCTAGAGGAACACCATAAGTAGAAGATAAAAATAAATAAAAATCAAATTAGAAGACAATGGACTGTTTAAAGTGACCGGGTGCACATTTTTCAGTCACTGTAAGTCATCTTTCTAATATATCTGAGGAAATGGCCGTTTCTAAATATGTGTACTTGTGCTTTCTCATGTGCTCGTGTACTCGTGAAACATCATCAGCCTCAGCACTAGTACTGTTACAATTCACAAGAACAGCAGACAGAGAACAGACAAAGTCCCCGGATGTTGTTCTCGCCCTTCCCTCTTTACCCAGCATGCATCAGAGCAGACTTGTCCGTTCTTGAGATTGACTGATGTCCCAGCATGCACTGCAGCAGCACCAGCTTTCAATAGAGCTTTTCAGTTGCCGTTGTTCTATAAAAGTACATTTTAAGATCATTTGAGGCCAGAACATTATAGTTTTAGGAATCATTATATGGCCCATTTACTGATTTAGTGCATCATTTAAAAAAGTTCAGAAGTTGAGGGGAGCGTGGCGACCAGTGGACCTCCAAGGGTTAACGTAGCCCGTCTGCAGCAGCCCTCTCTCGGCATAGCCGTGTGTGAAGCTGGCTCTGATGGCCATTTTTTTGGTTTTTTTTGACGAAATGTTCATTTGATTTACGTTTATCTGACTGTTTTAATTATTATTCCCCCAATAAATCAAACAAGTCAGAATTTATTATTATCTAGGGTTTATTGGTAACAGGAGGTGGAGGTGCAGCTCCAGATTAGCAGATCGTGTGGTGACGTCATCAGTACGCTTCTGTTCCAGTTGATCCATATTAATGCTGCGTGCTTCCGTTCTCCCCGAGTCCACACTTTCCTATGTTCTTCTCAAGAACACACTTGGCGAGAAAATGAGTCTGTACTCGCGTTGTTGTGAATTGAGAAACGGTAAATATTTTGATGCTGATGCTAACCGCTAACGGCTTCAGTTAGAAACAGTAGCTCTTTGTAGCATAGTTCTACATTTGGGTTACCATCTCCTAGCAGCAGCCAAACACCAGCTGGTCCTCCTCATCTTCATCACCTCTTGTAATTTCTACATTATCATCAATTCAGTACCTTGGTATAAACCGAAATTGTTTAAAGTTACTCCTTGCTGTTTAAGCTGGACAGAGCTAGTGATAATGAGTTATATCACAGCTAATTGTGGATCCCTCTAAGTTGCGTTCGCAGACTAAATCTAGTGATCTCCATGTTAACATTATGTAAAGTCCAGGATCTCCACCTCTATCAGGTGGTAAGTTGTTCCCATGTGCACTAAGGTGACTGGATTTCTGTAATCTAATCTGGGGACATTTCCAGGTCGTAGATGAAAATAAAAACATATAATGAAAATGAAAAATAGAAAACGATCAACCTTTTCATTTGTTGAACAAACGAAAAATTAAAACTCTATCATATCCTATTGGAATAAAACAAATAAAATCTAATTTAAATCATAAAAAACGAGTGTTTTAAAGTGTAATTGAATCCCTCAATGGGAGCATCTCTGAAGGATCTCATGGATTAGCTGGCTTCCAAAATAAGTAATGCACTCCGGGTTTTTTGGTGAAATCTAGTTCTGAAATGTTGAGTTAAAACGGGCAGCAGCAGATAAAGTAGAAGCTTCTCCTACTTGATGACACGGTGAAGTGTTGTCTCCACTGCCCAGACAGGTTACTGGCGAAATGTCAAATGAGCAACAGTACACAAAATATACAGTGACTCGCGTTTTATCTATTATTTGGCCTTCTTTCGATTTCTTTCCACTATGAATATACACTCACCGGCCACTTTATTAGGTACCCCATGCTAGTAACGGGTTGGACCCCCTTTTGCCTTCAGAACT